TAGCGTCCTTGTTATTGCCTTGTCGAACTCCGAGGGCACAGTGTAGACCCAGCCCCGCAGTCCCCGCGTCAATCTCGACATCCTCATGGCGCGAGCCTGCGCAAGCGCATTGTCTCCTCATTAAAAAAAGTGGCATTAACGTGCTACCATCCCTGAGGGTTTTGTGCACTGTGCACCAAGGGGATATCTGTTTACGTGCGCTTTTAACGCTCGTATAGTGAAGGAAAACATTGTGAGGAAATTGGCAGGATAATGTTGATGGCTGATTTCCTACTTGCCTAGTAGAAAAATGAAATGATGACGAAACAATTGCAGAAATGTTAGGAATAAAATGTTGTAGCGCTTCTGGTTTCTTTTCAACTTGTTTCTAGAAATATTATTAACTCATTGTGTCAAAATGTATTTACGGTGTAGTAAAAGCAGTGTTAGGACATTTAATATGTCTGATTTACCATTCAACAACCATTTATTAATTTTTCATTTGATTATTCATCTTAAAAGCCTATTTTACAAAAAAACTAACCTTATCTATAAATAAAAAGTTTTTCTGGCGTTAAGGGCAATGCTTAGGTACTTTCTACGTCTTGAGCTACTAACCCTCAGCTCAGGATCATAATTTTGTCTATGAAAGAGTCGACGCTCTGAATTTCCACTTGTGAAACCTGACTACTACCTTAAAATCTCGTTTTCCTCACTCAAACTTTATCCTGGGCACGTAGGCACTGAAGAATCCTATTCAAGGTCCAGCGCCGGTAATCCATCCCAATAGATTGTGTAAAGTTTTCATCGTACGACCCCAAAAGTTCAACATCTTCATGTGTTTAGATAAGGATAATTTAATTAAAGTTGGATAAAAAACTCAAAAGTGAAGTCATTACCCGCTTACGAGACTTCGCCACGAGACCCGCTGTCTAACCATTCACCTAGTAAGTGAGATTATCTTATTTGTTTCAGATTTCGAAATGTGCATCGTGTTTTTAGTATTCGTATTGATAGTAGCGCAGATTAATGCTAGTCAAGATGTCACACTATGCTTACCGAAACAGGAGATGTTAAACGAATGCCCCGGGTTGGCAGAAAAATATCTAAAATTTGGTGGGCCAGATACTAGTATGCTATTTGTAAGTGCATCATTTATTTTAAATAAATAAGAATATAATATGTGCCTGTATGGTAAAACGATTGCAAGAAATGTCTAAATCAACCACAGTGCCCGTACTCTGTAAATCGCGATTCCAATGATAAAACTAATAATTAACACAGTTGACCTTAGGTTTATACAATAATTGGAATAGACGATGTCAAGGGGCTTGAGACAAAATTGCTTTACGTCAGGAATAGACATTAATGCTAAAAGGAATTTGTATGGGAATGACATTCACTCACCCTACGTGACATATTCATACAAATACGTTGTATGAATATGGCCTGTCGAAAAGCAATTTTCATCTCAATCCACAAATGTGTTAGGTTGGCTAATAGATGACGCTATTAGCATAAGAAATTGATAATTTTATAACATAAAATATTATTAACCTCTGAATTAGGTACTAACCATAAATAATTTTTATTATTATTTAATGTTATTAATAATAGTATTTCCAACATACAAATATACAGTATTTTCTTAACCTACATGGTAATAATAATAATTAAAAATCAATAAATAGAAAATTAATATATTTTTAAAGCTTGGTCTTCCCTTAACGCTGGCAGCATTTCCTCGCTGTATTGCGATATTCATTGAGCGTGGAAGGCACCAGCTCTGGGGTCCCCGATGACTAATGTTATTAGTTATTTATGACATAAATAATTAATTACTTAAAATAATATGCCATAACATTAGCTAACTTGACATTAATTATAATTAAAACATAATGCTAACTTCATTGTTGGTTTCTTTATTGGGAAAGGAGAACCAAGAAAACACATGTCAGAAGAAGGTCACGATTTTGACGGGACTACAATATTTGACCTTTATATCCGGGCAGGGAATTTAAATATTGATCTGTAAATACATCAGTTCAATTAATCAAATAAATGCCATATATTAAAATATAAGTTTAGGTTGTGATACACAGAGCCTTTTTATTCTGATGCGCTCGATTAAATTTCAAAATACTTCTATTACTACCTGATACTAGCCTGCGATTAATTGAATTGAACATTAATATTATATTTTATTTCAGGACACTCATGGAGGTTACAAATAGAGGAATAATGGGTAATATATTTTGGTTTACCTACATTTTTTTACACCATTCACAAATTTAATTCAGACAAACATCGCACATGGAGCTGTTTCATGCATTTAATTAATAGCGTCCTTAATAAATTAACTTTAACGAAAGCGAGCCTAACGAAGGCATCTCAACCCTAAGGTTGTGTGTTTAAGCCCCGTTCATCGGGAGTAAACTTTCGTTTCTAAGATATTTGACGGTATAAGAATAGTGATCACCTACTGGATAATGGGTAGTAGCGTGAATGTGAATTTCCCTTTAAATACAATAAAATGTATTGAGTGTATTGTTGGTAAAACTAAAACAAGTTCTTTAAATATAATTACTTCAGGCGGGGAAGAATTAATTATTCTCTTCCTGACTTAACAACTGGAAGGAATAAATGTAAAGGATTTTTTATTATTACTAAACGAACAAGTCCTTCCGTTATCCGGAAATGAAAAATTCACTTCAAACTCAAAAATATACTTATTCATATAGGTAAACAAGTACTTACTTACATACGTCAAAAAAACTTCCTATAGTTTAACCTAATATAAGAAGTATTACAATTATCCCTGCAATATATGACAAAAATAATATGTATGTAATGTGTATGCAAATATATAAACTACAGAGCACACACGAGTTAAAAACAAATAAAAAAGTACCATATTTAACAATCAATGATTTTAATAAAACACTATTTTGACCGGATTGAAGTTATGTATTATTATAAATTTACAACTATTTAACATAATTTTAAATTTATCCGACGTTTCGCGTGCTTTACAGCGTGCGTGGTCACGGTGACTATCAATCCGGTCAAAATAGTGTTTTATTAAATGAATAAAAGTTATGTTAATCAAAGACAATACTATCAATGATTTTATTATTTATAATTGTTAATATACTTTTTTTCAGAAGCAGACATTATTTTCAGCCAAGACCAAGTTTCGATATGGAATGCACCTTCACCAGTGTATAACTTAGGAATGTCTTTATTATCTGTGTGAAATTATAAGTAACTGCTCTAATATTTAAAAGGTACTTAAATAAAATCGAATTAAATGTAGCTAAAATGTCAGTTAGTTTGTCCTAATTGGCTTTTGGATTTTGGTTTATATTGATAATGAATTTGTAATACTGTAGTGTAGTTTAAACACAAGTGTAAGTTAATTATTAAAGACATTATATAAATTGGTATTTTTCTCTTAGTGTTAACGTAAATATATTATCTATGTAGATTTTATTAACCCAAATGACAACATCAATTGTTCAAACTAGGTCAGAATCTCGTCATCATCACAATCCAATACGTACGATTGGATGGATGGATTACGTTTTAATAAGGCCCTGGAAAAATATTTCCAGACCTCATCCGCACCATCTCGATGGCTGTATGTTCCTTGGACTTTTACGAACTGACGAGCTATGGAATCGGTCTTAAGTGGAGGTCTTTTCTAGGAGATATGACATCTAAACTTTAAAAAATGATCATACTCCTCTCTTAACCCATACACGTACTTAACATGGGTGTCCATGCGGCAGCTGTTTTTTATGGCTGTTCCGTACTCTAGTTTGCCCCCCTAACATATAAAAAAAGGCCTAAAATGTTATACTTACAATGACACTCTCAATGCCAGAGGGCTCGCGAGTGCGTTGCCGGCCTTTTAACAGCTGACTTCATTTTAGCTTAGAGTTTAGGATAGAACATAATCTTTTGGGTTTAATTTCGTAATAGCTACAATATGCATAATATAGACGGGGACCAAAACAGTCTAAAAAAAAATTTGTATCTATAAAAAACATAATTAATTTAAAAAAATATTTTTAAATACAGTCAAATCTGAGTAAGTGACAACTGGGTAAGCGAGAAAACTTTATTAATGAGAGTATTTCCCGGGTCCCGTTTGCCCTAATAAAACCTCTATAAGTGAGAAACATGAAAACTGTAAGTGACAGTAATTTTTCACACGTGAACCTCTATAGTCTATAAGTGAGATTGATACTTTCCTATACCTCTAAAAGCGACAGTTAAACTCATTTAACTTTTGCTATTTATGACTCTTTCTTTTTATTGTATTTTTATAGACCCCTATATGTGAGACATACAGACCACTTCCGTAACCCTGTAAGGGAGCGTTCAAGTATTACGTAACGAATTTTGGGAGGGGGGGTTTGTTGGTGTTGTTTTGCGGGGCGGGGATTAAATTACGTATTATTGTTAATATTATTTTCGACTTTCCAGTACTGTAACACCACATAATGGTAACTGTAACTCGTAAATGTAACTCTTTAGGTATAAAGAATCACTGGGTGGTCACGAAACGTTTACTATTGGGTACAGAAAAACGTTACGGCGCGTTACTGGGGGGTGGTCCAATAATCTCCAAAAACTGCGTGACGTAATACTTGAACGCTCCCTAAGCTAGAAACTCGTGTTAGTGAGAAACCTCCATAAGAGAAAATGAGATCGCGATCCCTTGAGCTCTCACTTATGCAAGTTTGACTGTATTTTTTTTTAATTTGTTTGTAAAAAACATGTTTATGATGATTAATATCGCACTTAAATGGAAAATTTCCTTAATATATTTAAATCTCAAAGTCAACCAAAGTTAATTATCAATTTAAAGCTAGAAAAAACCAGACAGCTTACGTAATCCGTTGGATAAACATTAATTAGACAGTTAATATGGATATAAAGATAAACACAATTTAAATTCTAAAATGCAAAAGTGGCTTTATTACAGACACAATAGAATAAATAACAATCATACAATGTTCCTTCAACTGTGTGTCGTATTATTTTTGATTAATATTATCGTTAAAGCTTGTGGTAGCGAGTGTACTTGCGTGTCCGGGTACCTTAGAGACGAAAAGTCAAAATTGAGCACCCCCGAAGCCTTTAGGTTTTATAATATTACGCCGTACCATTTGCCCGTCCCACCGGTAGATCAACTTAAGGTAGTATTTTTTTTAAATCTTAATATACACTCGGCGTCAAAAAAATCGCACCTTTGTTAAAATTCGTGTCAAGCGATTATAACTCCGAAGATCCTTCCTGTACCCTATCATTATTAGTATCATTTGAAAGCTAATAAAATCCCTTATTTGAAAACGGTAGGAAATTGGTCACCACCCCCATAAAAAAAGAACATTCTGGGAAAATGTGAAACAATGTGTATTCTGATCAAAACTACAAAGAAATGGAACGACACAAAAATTAAAAATAAACAATAACAATAATTAAAAATTAGTCTTAAAACCTAGTGTTGCCTCCTCTCGCCCTTCGACCAGCTTCCAAGCGGTCAGTCATGGACCTGATGAGCGTCACGACGTGTTCCTGAGGAATATTGTCCCACTCCTCGATGACGGCATCTCGAAACTCATCGAGAGTGACAGGAGATGGATTACGGGCCCAAACTCGCCGTTTCAGCTCGTCCCAGAGGTGCTCGATAGGATTGAGGTCTGGGCTTCTTGCTGGCCAGTCTGTAACCTTGATGCCAACTCGACGTAGGTAGTCTTTGACAATCAAGGCTGTGTGGCACCGGGCGTAGTCGTGCATGAACTCGAAGTTGGCGCCGAATAAACCTGCACATGGGACCACATGCTCCTCCAAAATCTCGGTGATATACCGGTGGGCAGACAGAGACCCCTGGCAGCGACCATATCCAGCTCTGGAGACGCACACGAGGTCTGTCTTGCCGTCGATAGAAATGCCGCTTTAGAACATGTAGGATCCTCCTCCATACCCGACGGTTTCCACGGTGCAGGCTGGTGTGAAACGCTCCCCTGGTCGCCTGTAGACTCTCTTACGCATGTCGTTGGTGTATAGGCATACTCGGGTTTCGTCGGAGAACAGGGCTCAATTCTTGGCCCTTTCCTCTTTCTTGTTTATATAAATGATCTACCTTTCATGGTAGAGAGAAAACATCAGATAGTTTTGTTTGCTGATGACACGTCCTTGATTTTTAAAATCAAACGACAAATAACAAATTTTGACGATGTGAACAATGCTCTGTCTTCGATTGTCCATTGGTTTAGTATGAATAACCTTCTACTTAATGCAAAAAGACAAAATGCATTAAATTTTGTGCAAAAAATGCAAGGGTTATGGATACTAGACCAATTATAAACGGTGAGGAATTGAATCTGGATGATACAACTGTATTTCTCGGAATCACCATGGATTCAAAACTTCAGTGGTCCCCTCATATTAACGGATTGGCGAAGAGACTTAGTTCTGCAGCCTACGCGGTTAAAAAAATTCGCTCACTAACTGATGTCGATACAGCTAGACTTGTTTATTTTAGTTACTTTCATAGCTTAATGACTTATGGCTTATTATTATGGGGTCATGCTGCTGATGTCGAAACTATTTTCATCCTGCAGAAGAGGGCTATTCGTGCAATCTATAATTTAAAATGTAGGGAATCTCTTAGAGATAAATTCAAGGAAATTAATATACTTACCTTTCCCTCGCAATATATTTATGAAAATATTATGTATGTATACAAAAATAGTGATAAGTTTACTAGAATAGAACATACGCACAATGTTAATACACGGAACAAACGCAGGCTGCAATTTCCCCGTACTAGACTATCTAAAGTTAGTAATTCTTTTTTGGGGAAAGGGATACTCTTCTTTAATAAAATCCCAGAGGCTCTTTTATCACTGCCTTTCAATAAATTTAAGAAATGTATTAAAGAAAAGCTGTGTAAAAAGGCTTACTATAAAGTCAACGATTATCTAGTTGATAAAAGGGCCTGGGACTAGTGCTAGACAGGCTACTTCTAATCAATTTGCGATATTTGTTTTAAATAAGTGTTGTTTGATGATTTGCTGTTTTAAAAGAGTACCGAGAGTTTTTTACGCCGGCTTTTTCTCTCGGCCTACACCCTCTGTCTTCTTTGCCGATGAGTAGGGATGCCTTCAAATTTAATGACGTGGAATAAGTGATACATGTATCTTATGTTCCATAATAAACATATTTTATTTTTTATTTTTATTCCTCCACTGGTCGAATGTCCACGGCACGTGCGTTTCGTAAAATCGCTTCCTGTTCGTCCGATGGATAGCAGTCAATTAGGGGCCTGTAGCAGCTCTCCGGGGCAGCAAATTCTTCTCTCACAGCCTTCTTCTGATAGTGGAGACGCTGTCTGCTGTCCTTCGAGTAGCTCGAAGTCGCTGCTGCAGCTCCACAGCGTTAGTGCAGCGACGTCTTCCGGATCCATGTCTCCTGATGTAACCTCCAGTCTCTTGGAACCGTTGGTATACCCGTTGCACTCGAAATCGGCTGATTTTCAGTTGCCGAGCAACTTCAACCTGCCGTAGTCCGGTTTGCAATAGGGCCACCACTTCAGCTGCTTCTTATGCCATGGTATCCATTTTCACTGGGTTTTTTCTTGTCGAAGCTCTTCAGGTGTGACCTCTGTGACGTCTGGATTGCGAATGACCCATAATTGACTTTTACCCCCTCGTTTTATACGCGTCCAGGGTGGTACAATTAGTGAGCCTCCAAATGCGTACATCGCCACATTTTAAACAAAGTGGCAGTTTTTGATTTTCCGTAAACAAATGATTATTTTTTTAAAAGCTTATTAATTGAGCTTTTAAATAATACTAATAATGATAGGGTACATAAAGGATCTTAGAAGTTATAATCGTTTGACACGAATTTTAAGAAAGGTGCGGTTTCTTTGACGCCGAGTGTATATAAATTACGTGTCACGTTGTTTGTCCGCTATGGACTCCTAAACTACCGAACCGATATCAATCCAATTTGCACACCGTGTGCAGTTTGATCCAACTTAAAAGATAGGATAACTTACATCTCAATTTATACCCGAAATATTATTTTATTGCAAAATATTTGTTTATTATTTGATAGTCACAATTCTAACAGATGGCGCTGTGTTGAAAGTACCAACGTTTCACATAAGCTACAATTTAATGGAATAACCACCAATAAAACATGGTGGTCCCCATGACTGGTGTACTCCTACCGTTTCCCTTGAATAGTTTACTACTATGTAATGTAACAAAAACCTTAGTCACAGCAACGCTTGGCCGGTCTGCTAGTATACTATAATTTAGTTAGCTCCAGGCTCCTATAAGGGAGAGCTCCAGGCATATGGGCGTTAAGGGATGCTGATGCGTGGTCTCTGTTCACACAATATGTAATGTCGGGTAAAAACTTTGATAATTTCAAGTACTTTTGTTGTTAACAATTAATTGTTTGTTAGGAATTGAGTTCAACCGTGACGAAATAAACTTATTTTCAAATGTTTATTTCGTCACGGTTGAACCGTCGTATATGTAAAAAAAATATTTTAACGAGCTAGAGGATCGGATAGGATACGCCGTAGATCAAGGATCAGTTCAAGGATTTTAATTGTTATTAAAATACGCAAATTACGCGCAGAAATACACTAATTATCACACACAAAATACTGTCACTAATTACTCGTACTTCACACAGCACTTTATCACGTGTCTTCACTTTTCTCAATTTATCTCTTCGATGTTAATCTCTGGGAATTGCACTTGAAACTGAATTTTTTGGTCGCGTTTCGGCGTGCTCATATATGTGCCCTGGGATTAATCTTGAACGATGTTTGAGAACTTTCTACACACGAGTGGTTCTGAGTAGCTGATGTTCTATTCTTATCGCACATTTCTAGAACGTACGCACTCTTTATCTCTCAGCACATCGCTGCGTCATTGTCGTACGGTGTTCTAGAACGTTCAGTCTGGCTTCGAGAAGGTTCCGATCTTCCCTCTCTTTCGCGTATAATTCCGTCTGCAAGTCACTCCTCACCTAGAAAGTTCACTTTAGAATAATCCTTTATCAAAGGGTCCTTCATCAAACCAGTCCTGAAAACGCCAGGAAACTGATTTTCTGAAACGGTACCACTCGACTACACTTGCTCTGAAACCGCCTGAAAACATGATTCAGCATCCTGAAAACGAGAGTAATTTTATGCAAATGACTTTTTTCTGGAACGTGATTGAGCCTTTTCTGAAACGGCCATAAATCACATTTCAGCTTGCTGAAAACGTCTCTAACTTGTGGAAAAATCGATAAACATTTCAGTCAACCCATCTTCGTAACAATAGGAGAGGGTCCGTTTACTATTGTGTAGCTTTGGTTTAAGTACATAATATAATTTAACAGTGGATCATTATTAATAACACATATCACCGCTTCATTATATACAAATATTAAACGATACAGAGAACATAAGCCCCTGCGCAAGGATGACACAAAAATCATGAATCATTTCACATTTTTTCCCAGTTCTCTGATCTGTGCCTGGACTATGTCGAGATGCGTAAACGTATTTTAAAAAATTATATACCGATAGGAGTAAGAACTCATTTAAGAGTACATATTCATGAATTCTGTAACAAACAATGCTAAGTAGTGTACTTTCAGGCTGAATTCATAACTGCTAATGTTGAATTGGGAAGCTTTATACCGCCCCCAAGAATTATTGACCCAGCTTTTATACGCTATCCTCAAGCAAAGGAAGGTGAAAAGTACACATTGATTTTACTGGGTAAGTCCGATATGGATTCTAGACTTTGTTTTAAAAATTTATATATAAAAAATATGTTTTGAATAATTTAAGCCTAAATAATGATATTTAGTAATAATATATTTAGAATTTTCTTTATTACTCAGGAGAGTTTGATTGCCACTAAACATACTTATTTTTTCTAAGTTAGCTTAGTTAGTTAGGTCTGACTTAGTCAAAGTGAGCATTTGGAGCCGTGCTAACCGACCCGAAATAATTGTTTCGCCGTAATTTGAGCCTAATATCGTTAGCGCTAACATATCGACGATATTCAGTTTCGCGGTCATTTGGGGGAAAGGCTTTTTTTTTTTTTTTTACTTGGGGAAATGCCTTGCGCATACCCTACCGCGGTGCGACTGCTTAGTGCGGGAGGGTTATGTGGGACTCGCGAATGTGCATACCCACTAAAACCCCAAGGCGCCACCAACAATCGCCTTAGGCGGGATGCGGTAACAGCAGAGCCTTATCCGCTTCCCGACATGCGATGCGGCAGTTGTGTCCGCCTCTCCCCGCCCATTGTTGATTTGTGAAGATACTTGACACAGCAAGTATCCTTCACAGATCGGGCCATACGCTTTTATGGATAGCTAGGGGAGATCGGGTCCAGTGCTTGCAGGGATGGATCACCATCCCTTCTATTGAACGCATGGACCCCTGCTTCCCCGCTTGGGCACTCTTTAGGTGGCGAGGATTTGACGGGCCTGCGGTTTCTTTCGCCGCCGCGGACGAGTTCCGGGACAAAGCTCCTGGTTCTTCCCGCTTCTTCTTTGACTTTCATGACCGACTCGCAGAAATTATAGAAGATTTTCCACGAGCCGTCATTTCCTGCGCTCAATATGGCTTTCACTACGTTTGGCAGTATTGCGTCCTCGCCCTGGAGAGCATCTAACAAAGGTCTCCTTTCCACTTCCCATGCTGGGCAGTCCCTCAGTGTATGCAGGGCGTCGTCCCGGTTGTCTCCGACACAGTGGTGACAGGTTGGTGACTCCTCACACCCTACTACTTTGTGCAGATAACTACCAAAGCATCCGTGTCCGGACAGCATCTGCACAAGTCGATAGCTGAGGTGACCCCAGCGCCTCTTTACCCAAAGTTGAAGCAAAGGTCTGAGGGCTTCGGTAGTATATTTACCGGCACTCACACCCACCAGCTCGCTTTCCCACTCTACTAACAATTGCTGGTCTTCTAAGGCTCGCCACGCGTTTAATTGTTCCAGTGTGGGGTTATCCCCTTTATCCCGAGCTTCGGCCCTCCTCCAATATACTTCGCTAAAAGCAGCCGCATCGAGGTGCCATGGCGCGGTACCGGCTATAACACACACTGCGTCATAAGACACAGTGCGGTACGCCCTCGCAACCCTGGCAGCGACCACTCGCTGCGACTGCCTGAGTATTGCGCGATTGTACCCGGTCAGTTTGTCGGCCCATATGGGACACCCGTACAGTGCTTTTGCCCGGATCGCATTAGCGTATAAGAGGCGACACCCCCACTCGGCCCGCCGAGGTTTGGCATTATGCGCGAGAGCATGTTTGCGGTGGCGGTGAGCTTAGGGGCAAGTGCCACGAAGTGTGGTCTGAAAGTCCACCGTGGGTCAAGAATCAGCCCAAGGTATTTGAGCGTGGTACCGACCCGGATAGCTACTCCGCCGACAATGATGTCTGCGTCTTGAGGTGGAGCTTTTCTGTGGCCGTAGAAGCATATAGCTTCTGATTTCTGAAGGGCGACAACAAGGCCGAGCTTCTTAATTTCAGAAACCACCCTAGCTACTCCAGCTGTCGCTCGGAGGCGCGCTTCCTTAAAATTTTCTCCAATAGCGACCACGAGGGTGTCGTCTGCATAGCATATAGTTGACACTCCAGGGACTAGTTTCGCACGCAGCACCCTATCGTAACCTGTGTTCCAAAGAAGGGGGCCAAGAACCGAACCTTGTGGGACGCCGCACTTGATGAGGTGACCTATGCCATTTTGTTTCGGGAAGATAACCCGGCGGCCGTTGAGGTACGATGCTACACATTTTCTTATATAGGCCGGTAAGCCGTGGTGGCGCAGGCCGTCCGCGATACAGTCCCATGGTAAGGAATTGAAAGCGTTCGCGATGTCTAACGATACCGCGAAAACCACTCTGCCCCGTGACACCTGCTCCTCGCAGACGCTTCGCAGGCGCGCAATTGCGTCGATCGTTGACCTATGTTTCCGGAAGCCGAATTGAGCCTCATGTATGTTTGGTCCTATAGTTTCCAAATGATTGTAAATCCGACCGGCAATAATACGCTCGAAGAGCTTGCCGGCTTCATCTAGGAGAACTATAGGTCGATACGCTGATGGTGACTCTGGAGGTTTTCCACCTTTTTTTAGAAGAACTAGCAACCCAGTCTTCCATGTTGACGGAAAGAGGCCATTTCTAAGACATTCCGTGAGGAGGCCTCGAAAGCGCATGTCAAGACCAGCGTCGAGGGCCAGAGCTACCACTCGTCCGTGCATGCCATCGGGACCAGGTGCAGTTTTTTTAGTGGTCATGCGCGCTATTGCTGTCTTCAGCTCCGAAGGAGATACTTCAGACACTGTGACACTGTGTTCCGTAGTCGTCTCATGTGGGGAGCTCAGGGCGTCGCGTTCAGGAAAAAGTTCCGCCACCACTGTGCTGAGCAGTTCCGGCTCCATGTTTTTCGTGAGTGGCGGGGCCCACGAGCGCAGCTTGTTTGTGACAATCTGATACGGGCGTCCCCAGGGATCCCGCTCCAGGGTGTCAAGCAGTTCTTGCCATGCTTTCTTTTTTGCTTCGGCGATACCTATTCGCAGCGCCAGTTTTGCATCTCGGTATACGCTATATGCTTGTTTTTCCTCTTCTATGCGAATTGGTCGCCTTCTGCGAGTCCTGGTGTAGCCTCGACGAGCTGCTACACAAGCTACCCGCAACTGGGCGAGTTCTGCCGACCACCAGAATACACTGGTCCGGTGAGCTCCAGGGCGTCTTTTTTGCATTGCGGCATCCGCGACGCAAGTCATTGCGCCACGAAACCACTCTGCCTCTTCCTCTGGATTTACGGAGGCTGGGATCGGGCACCAGGCCTGCACAATCGTAGCCAATTCCGCCTGTTCCTTGTTAAGACTCCCAAGTGCCCATTTTGGGCCCAGTTCTGACGGGTCCGAGCTAGGCTTGGCCGACGGAGAGAGAGTGCGGAAGCGGATATACCGGTGGTCCGAAAGCGTCTCAACCCCCGTCAGGACCTCCCAGTCCTGAACACAGCACGAAAGATGGGGGCTCGTGAAAGTCACATCCACAATCGATTCTCCGTTTGTTCGAACACACGTAGCTTCAGAGCCCCTGTTGGCCACTACCAAACAGTGCGCTGCTGCCCAGTCCACCAACGCTTTTCCTCGTGGGCTGGACATCTGTGAACCCCAGGCCACAGACTTTGCATTCAGATCCCCAGCGATGACTAAATGTCTCGGGTGACTCCATTGCACCAGGCTTCCCAGTTCGTTTAGGAAGGCCTCAAATTCAGCTAGCGAGCGATTGGGGGGAGAAGTACGTACTCGCGATACACATTTTGCTTCCCAACTTTGCTGCCACATAGCCGTGGCCTTTTCGAACTGGGCCAATGCAGGGCGAGCCGTCTGCCGGTGTAACGATAATTGCGGCCAGACCGTCGAGGTCGCCAACCCAGTTCGTTTTTTCGGGTATGGAGTAGGGCTCGGAAATTATACCTATGTTGATATTCCACTGCGCCAGACTCTGGTACAGTAGGTCTTGTGCAGCAGCGCAATGGTTAAGGTTGCTCTGGAGAAACCGTAGGGCCATGTTAATTTGCTGCGGTTTCTATACCCTCCATACGCGCATTGTTACGCGGAGACTTTGCGGGCGTCTTTTTTTTTAGGTGACGAGCGGCGCCTGGGTACCTTCACACTGGGAGCTGTGCAGCTGTTGCCACCTAGCCTGTGATCCGCTTTCCTACCGGCCTCGTCGCAGAGTAGGCACTTGGGTTTTTCACTGCAGGAGGCTGCCCTGTGACCGGCTTGACCGCAGCGAAAACACAGTTGGCTACGATCAGTATCGGACATGCAGCGGCTAGCTACGTGCCCGATTTGTAAGCAGCGAAAACACCGTAGCTCTCTTGGCTTTGCAACACTAATATTTGCCACAACCCATCCGACAAAGAAACGCCCCGCTAAGAGTTTCTTGGCAGCCGTTACGGGGCAGTTAGCCCACGCTGCGCCAAGACCCGATCTATCTTGTCGTATTCGGCTGATTCTGGGGGAAAGGCTAAATTAACCTCCAAGAAGGTGGGTGTGCTCGGCAAAGCAAGACGGTACTTCACTACGCGCTATCGCGTTCAACTGTATGTCGGAGGTTCGACAAGATTAATAATTACAAAATTGGTATCACTACCGTCGTCCGACATTATTACTTAATTACTTAATATTTAAACACAGTCAGTGCGCACATCCGGCGCAGACGCCGATCGGAAAGCAACTCAAGCTCTTCACGACCGATTCTACGCACTACTGACAGCTTGACTTTGACAATCGACACTTTACAACCTGTAAGATGTCCATGATATAGCGTGGTGTTGCCATTGTAATCAAACAAATTACACCGTGTTCTATTATAGCCTAATCTCTGACATGTATAAATCGCAAATTCGGCCCCACATGGAGTACTGTTCTCACCTCTGGGCGGGAGCTCCAGCATCAGCTTCTTCCACTTGACCGTATTCAACGAAGAACGGTTCGAAGAGTCGACGAACAATCCCTTTCCGAGCGGCTCACTTTTGGCGTTGTACAGAGATGTGGGGTCTCTCTGCATCTTCTACCCCATTTACAACGGTGAGTGTTTAGAGGAGTTGTTCGGGTAATTCCTGCAGAGTTTCAACATCGGACGTCGAGTCAGGATACGAATTGCAACCCATATCACTTCCATGTCCGTCGTTCCATAACTAAGCATTGTTTAAGGCAGTTGCCACGCACCTCCACCTTGTAGAACCAGCTACCCACTGATGTTTTTCTGTCAAATTCGACCTTAGGGTCCATCAATTAAAGAGCGTTCCAATTCTTAAAACGCCGGCCCTCTGTTTTATAAAAATCTTCAAGTTATACGTTATTTGCGGTTTGTATAGTCACTTATAAAAATATCCTATACATATCTTGATTTTTTTAGTACCTATGTTTAATAAAAAAAAGTACTAAAGATATCTACTGATGATTAGAATGAGATTTTTTGACGTGACAATGTCTTATAATTCGAAAAGCGAAAGCGCGGAACGAGCGACATAGAGGCACAATCGGCTTCCGTATTCGGCAGCGTTCGACATCTTTATTGTATATAAAGTATAAATCGTATTATATCGATTATATTGTTATGGATCAATTCAATTGTGATTTCCATTTACCTCCTCTATATCCAGACAAAATATCTATCACACAAATAAAATTAAAATTTTCTTTTGAAAAATGCAACCATTCCATCAGTATTTTCTTATGACGTTGTCACGTTCAACTATCGTCAGTAAACCGACTTTACAGACAACCGATATTTTAGATTTCGACGGATTTCAATCAAAAGATATGAAAGGTTACACCTTATACGCCTTGGTTGTGAATGTTCCGAAAGTAGATAATATCTTTCTGGCTGGAGATATGGTAGCTCCCTTCTTCCCTCATGCACCGTCCTTAGGAAGTGGAATACATCGCCTAGGTGCCTTGTTGTACGAGCAGAACGGACGCATTGAACCTAACAATCCAGACATGATGAATTAAGTCTTGTAAACCGGTAAACATTCAGCCTTGCGATTCTATAACTCACTTTTCGAACTCACACAGCGGTTTTCGCATCGGCGGTCGCTCTCAAATCAGTCGTGAAGCAGTCATTTTATGATTTGGCATTCTGATAAACAATAAACTACAAGCTCCCACCGTATCAGTTACCAGGGATAACAGGGATTTCCCATAATATATAAGGATAATCTCCCAAATCTCCATACTTATTAAAGTATTTAGTCATAAAAAAACACACACATACACTTATAAAACATAAGAACATACAAATCAATTATATTAGAACATAAAAACTACCAAGAATAAACCACAAAAAAAAAATAACTAAAACTAAATAGAAAGTTAAACCTCATTAAGAGCGTGATACACAAAATTACGTTAGAAATATTGTTGTAAAATATATCATTATTTACATTAATGTTAGTAATTAAGTTGTAAGTGCGAGATAGCCTATTCACTGGACCATTAAACGTAGTAGATTAGCGAGCTGTAGGTACATAAAGAAGACTTAGTCCTCATAACTCTAGGATTACAAAGAAAGGAAAATTTAGCAATAAGATCAATATTTAAAGTTAAAGTATAAATAAACTGAGAAGTGTTGGCCTAGTGCCTTCAGCGTGCGACTCTCATACCTGAGGTCGTAGGTTCGATCCCCTGCTGTGCACCAAAGGACTTTCTTTCTATGTGGGCATTTAACATTCGCTCGAATGGTGAAGGTAAACATCGTGAGGAAGCCGACATGTCTTAGACCCAAAAGTCGACGGCGTGTGTCAGGCACTGGAGGATGATCACCTACTTGATGACTACTATTAGATTTAAAAATGATCATGAAACAGATTCAGAAATCTGAGGCCTTGACCTAAAGAGGTTGTAGCGCCACAGATTTTTTTTATAAATAAACTTGGTCAATAAAGTTACGTCGGAGTTTATTTATTTATTTGCTCAACAGTATTCTTACAGCTAAACAATATCTAAACAATTACGGAATACACATTCAAACATAAACATAAACACACAGCTAACAATTTTTACTTATTTAGGCAAGAAATAAAACAAATTATATATTTATAATAAATTATAAATTCTAAGTTATAAGATTAATTGATTATTATAATAAATATTAAATATAAAGGAAGAATAACAAAGCCATTACTAATAGAAGATTTATAAATAATTTTTAAAAATATTTGCTGGTAATTTGTATTAGGGTGCGTCCACATCTGCCGATTATGTCGAGAATGTGCAGCTCGCAGTAGTTTGCGAGCTGCGCCCGTGCATTATTGTTAGTGCGCCGCCCGCGCGTAACTCGCGGGCGGCGCGCTAAGGGTGGCCATTCACGGGCGATCCATCGATACATTTGGCACGCTGTCGATCCAAAACTCGTCCATGAATGTGAAAACACTGTCGGTCCAAATGGATTGGCTCGGCGCGATGGAATTCCAACTGCGCGAAAGTCCATCGCGCCGAGTCAATTAGCGCGGCGCGCATACGCAGGCGGCGCGCTCGTGAATGCGGAAAACCAACGGTCCGGTCGGTCTGAGCCATCGTACCGTACGGTTTGCTCGCTCGTGAATGGTGTTACTCGCGAGCCAAACACCGCGCCATTTTGATTTCAGTTTGCGTTTAGCCGTTGGACGAGAAGCATGTGACGCATTGTTAATATAAATCGTTTTCGCAATGAGTTCAAACCGTGACTTTGTTAATCAATTTATTTATAAGTTTAGAGACCTGACGTGTTTGTGGGATGTGACAGATATAAATTACCACAACAAACAAAAACGCGATGCAGCATTAGAGGTTTTGCTAAGTTTTTATAAAACCAAATCGCCTAACGCCACTATTGACACAGTAAAAAAGAAACTTCAGGCACTAAGAGCCTCATTCAGGAAAGAGTTTAATAAAGTAAGTACTTATACTTATAACCTAGCTGTTTATTATTTAATGTTGTGTGTAGTGTAATAATGTTGAGGGGTTAAATATTTTTGCGTCGTATTTCTGTTCATATTCGTTAAGACATACCTACTACGTTGTTGAATGCGCGGTACGCTATTTTTTTTAAAGACAATTCACACCAATTGATCAAGTCCCATGCTAAGCTTGTGAAGCTTGTGGTATGGGTACTAGGCAACGGATATACATACATATTATAGATAGACATATAAATACATATTTAAGCACCCAAGACCTAAGCACAACACCAAACGCTCATCACATCGATGGTCGTCTCAGCCGGGGATCGAACCCGGGACCCATGGATTCGCAGTCAGGGGTACTAACCACTAGACCAATGTGTCGTAGTTTATCGGACCGAGAGTGGGATAAAAAAATAATCCAATTATTAATAAACAAAGGATATTAAATTATATCCTTTGTATATAATATAATATATACATATATATACTTTGTATATGTCAACGTAAAATTGTAAAAACCGTTAGATTGTAATCTATCTCGCGTGATTGTAAACTGTCGAAAAATTGTGAACTCAACGTATTGCTTACAATTTAACGTATTATTATTCGGTAGATTATAATCTATCGAAGTGAAAGCGTCAAATTGTGAAACGGTACGCACCTCGCGCGCTGATTGGTTGAACGGAATATGCCATGGTGGCGACCATATTTGTTTGTTAATTCGGTTGTTGTCGAATGTAAACAAACGGTGTTTTGGTGAATGTAAATTGATGTCGTCTTGAAAGTAACTCACAGCTTTAGGATGTTGAAAGTGAACGTGAAAAGTTCTATGAAAATGTTGTGGAAGTAAAATTAATCTGTGATTGACCAAAGAAGTGCAGTTTGAATGATAATTAAGTTAGTGTTGGTCTCCAAACATAGTCTAAATTACATAGTACATTTTCCGTGTTTCAATATTTTTTATTCGCGTGAACCTTTGTGATCTCGTATTTACAATGTCGGATATTGAGCCTGTCGATCAACAAAACTCAGAAATATTAGGTATTGTTAATAAGGAAGAATTTACCATAGAGTTACAAAACTATTACAGCGGGCATAATGAAAATAGTAAAAAATTTAATTGCAAAGAAATAAAAAGAAAGCTAATGTTCTTTGAATCTGCAGGTGCCACAACTCGTTGACGTGCAACAATAATTGACAATTTTTATTGATGCAATTTACTTTCTTATTTTTTATATAATAGACAATTTTGTTATGTTTTCAAAAACATTCATATGTTTTCCATTTGTTTTTTTTTTTAAATTTTGATTTTATTTTGTGATCGTTTTTTTCTAAAAGAAAATTTCATTAATTTTTCAATTTTAATTTGTGTTTGAAGAGAAAATATTGTTACGTTTCTGGTTTTTATATTTTATATATTTTTTTTTTCATCATGTGATGTCAGAATTATTGATATAATAAATACTAATTTTTGAAGTGCATTCATTTTATTTGACCGATACCCTTGTTTCATTCCTAACTCTATGGACATAATATAACCGTCTACTATAAAGCCGACCAATCAGCGCGCGAGGTGCGTACCGTTTCACAATTTGACGATTTCACTTCGATAGATTATAATCTACCAAATAATAATACGTTAAATTGTAAGCAGTAAGTTGAGTTCACAATCTTTCGACAGTTTATAATCTCGCGAGATAGATTACAATCTACCGGTATTTACAATTTTACGTTAACATATATATATAATATAATTTAATATACAGGTTGGAATTTATTCATACATTGATTGACTTCTCGTCGTAAATACCGTCACAATGGGGTTAAAAAGAAAACAATAAATACATTATTTATTTCAGGTTAAAGCATCAATGCAATCAGGAGCTGGTCCAGATGACATCCATGTTCCAAAATTATGGTACTATGACGAATTAATACAATTAGAACAAGAGACCAAAAAATTAGGCCGATAATTTCACTGAATAACAATCATTATCTGTCGACATCGTTAAAATGGTTCATGTGCACTTTTTTATTATTATTAGTATAATTTTTTTTAATGTATCCTTTATTAGTTTTGTTTGTTTTTTTTTTTTGTTCCTGTTTAGTTTCTTTTTCTTTACAAGTGTATGAAATATGTACATGTATTTTTGCACTTTTTGCCTACCTTATGTAATTTAATACATTTACTTTTTTATTTTCTCACAGTGGTTGCCTGGAAGAGATCGCTCGAAAGCGATAAGGCCGCCAGTTGCCTTTCCTTTACTTGTAATTTTGTTAAATTTTTATATCATAAAGCAACAAAGTGTAAATAAATAAATAAATAATTGTAACTTGATTTTTATAATAAAGAATATTCATAAATATAACAGTTATTTTTACTTAATTTCATATAATCCTTAAGAGCAAAAAGAATAGCTTTACATGTATCAGAAATTATCACTCCCAAACGTTGTGGAGAGATAAGTGTAGGAAATTTCAACTCCTCACATAACATGCCCGAAGCTAAGAATCGAAGAGTGGCACTAAGTCGTTCATGAGGACTTATAGCTTCCCTCATATTAGTGTTCTTTTTCTGAATCAGAGGAGTAACCAGTTCCAAAAGTTTAAAATAGGTAGGTTCATCCATTCGCATAATATTTCTCTTTTTTTAAAACTAGACAAATCGCTATGGTCGATAAATAAAACTCATCTTCTGAATCGAAGTTCATTATGAACACGTCCGGTGCTATCGACGCCTACACTCAAACTGATCAAATGGAACGGCTCGCTGGCGCGTTCGTGAATGGCATGAATTTGGCTCGTCGCGACGTCCAGTATCGAGCCCGTGGCGCGAAAGCCATATAGATCGCCCGTGAATGGCCACCATAAGGGCTCGCGTCTTCTTAAGTACTGAGCCCGTAAACGGAACTGTAAGCGCGAGAACTGAGTGCGCTTTTACGAGCCTTGCATGAGTTGCGCTAAAGAGGCGCACCAAACCATTGCCGTGACTGAACGCGCGCAGCTCGCAAACGTCTCGCGAGCTGCACGGTCGTGGCGCATTCGCCTGATGTGGACGCACCCTTATAA